TGAGTATTTTCTCAAGTACACTAGTTTTGCACAATTATTCTACCGTGGTGGTTCTGATGCTTACACAGAAGGTCATATAACATGAAAAATGTCAGAAGCTGACATATTTTTCTCATACTCAAGTGGTATTTTTTCAAGTGGAACAAGGGGTGACTTAGTGGACTAATTGCTGCTCTTTGACATACACAAAGGCCGTGAAATAATGTTAAAAAAGACACTGAAGGTCCCTTGCAATGGAACATAGTTAATGCTTTTAGGTTTGGGTTTAGAATATCTTTTTTTCAAAATGAGCTCAGACATTGTATCAACAGGAGTTTTGAAATTCTGTCTTAGTCCACTAGATGGTGATCCTTGTAAATCAGGATTCAGGTAACTAAGCAAGACTCAGGCTGTCAGCCATAAAAAAACCCCACACTCTAGTATGCAGAACAGAAAAAACATGTTTGCAATATGCTATGGTTTGCATCATAAACCTATACAAACAAATTCCAAAAGATGTTTGAGAAATTTTTGAGCATATGAGTGCACTGTCCCTTCAGTATTACATCAGTAGGAATAGTCACCAAGACCTAGTAATCAAGAAAACTGAACTTGATCTCTTTCTCTTACTGCAAATCATTGTGCAACATCTGAGCTGCAAACCTCTTTTGGAAGCCTGTAATGAAAACTACAGCCAAGAATTGTGATTATTTGAGGCTGACTTCAAGGCACATGCATTGAAGCATATTTGATTTTCTGCATGGCATGCATAAAACTCCATGTGTAATCTTAACACAAAACAAAGGCTTAGGATATGGTAATAGAAATGTTTTATTAATCAAATATATTTACATTTCTTCATCTTCTTTTTAAATGTGTGCCTGTTGTTTTCATTTAAACACAATGTAATCTTTTCAACTGATACCACAAGAATACAGCTACATGCATGACTTAATTGGTCCTTTGCAGTAAAAAAGATGCAGTTTTATGAACTTTAAAAAAATGCAAGCAAGCTGTTTACCTTTCTAATTACAGTGTCATTATCACTTTATTACAACAGAGGACCTCTTCAGCATACTCTACATCTATGGGGTGGATTTATGCACTTTTTCAGAGTGGCTTGATGATGTCAAAACTTCCAAGATCTAGACAAAATATAAAAAAAGACTTCATGCAGTCTCAGAATATTTTATTTTCTGGAATCTTATCCACAGAAAGGACTTGGATGAAAGACAAAAGTGCTGTAATTGTAATTTAAAAAAAAAAAAAAAAATTGTAGCAATTGATGACTCTCAAAAGCAATGAGGACTTACTTTTGGACTTTTGTCTATTTATTAATCTGAAATCACATAATTTTTTCAGCTATAAGACAGCATTACATAATGTAATGGCACCATACAAATAATAAATTATAATTCAAAGGAGAGATGACATTATCAAAAGAAAAGACATACACATCATTACTTGTAAGTTTCTAGCATGTAATATGCTGCAATTATTACATTATCCCCAACTCAGCTTTCTTTCATGGGAAGACAACCAAATTTTATCAGAAGAGTTCATATTTGGGGCCTATAAATGTAAGTACATAATGGACTTAACATTTTTATGAAAGGAATAAGTCTGTGAATGCATAAGGTTGAATTCCATGCTGGAAAAAAAAAAAAAAAATCATAATTACACACAATTTTTAAGTATGACTTCTGACATGTTCAGGGTTGGACAAAAAAAAATTTAAAAAACAAAGTTTGTATTTATTTACCAGAGTACAAAACAGAGATGCCAAGTGCTTCAGATATTCTGAAATGGCAGGCACATAATCACTACATTTAAAGGTAATTGAACAACACTTGCTACTTCAGTTTACTGTGTGCAAACACATACTGTATTCATCATATACTTAAATGTATGGTTGTTCTGTCGATACATGAGCAGAAACTCTCTTGGCGTTTGGGAATTGCAGACGGGAACTAGTTTCTGTTTAGTCCAAACCTGTTTAGTTTGTCCATGTTAGTTTTATATTTGCTGTTTTGTAACAGAATGCCAAATGTTGTCCTTGAGAGAAGCCCTCTATGAAGTCATGGGTTCTCACTGAATTGCTTTTGTATATTGCCAAATCTGATGTGAAAGTGCCATATACAGAATAATGTAATAAATGAAGTCGTGCTTAGGCATCTGGCACGACATACTGACCTACACACGAAAGAATGGTTTGGAAGAAAAAAAAATGTAAGTTCTGTAGAAATCCTACTCTGGTGCATTTTTTTAAAAATCAAGTAAAATATTGAAATGATTGATCTTTACCTCACACCCATTCAGGATAATATTTAGACACAAGTTTAAAAACTCATGAGTAAACCTA